TGTATTATGTCAGTGATACTATACAAGGATTGAACAAAAATGTAAAATTAAGTATTGCATCATCATTCATTACCATTCAATTATACTAGAAAATGCAAAATATTAAGGGCCAGTTCCATTCAAATATATTACTACATGGATCATGAGATGAACATCAGCAGGCTACAGCTAGCTCATAACCATCACATTAGCAATTATACACATGCATTTATCATGCATTACAATTGAAATATCATCTGAATGATGACAAAGCATGATGTGGCACATATTTTGCTGATGCATATAGCATACATGTAGTTCAGGATATTTACACAATGACACAAGTAGGGCTACCTCTTTTAAAAACCAGGTGCTAGGCTGCAGGAAATCATCAGAGGTGAAGACTGAAGTTTTAAACATACCATCATCTTTATTGCAACCTTTATGTGGCTTGCTCCGATGCACAATGGCATACAGTACTAAAGGTCTTCTTTCCAGCAGCCATTCTTATAAAGAAGGGGTTAAATTTAATACATAACTAGTTAATAACCGGAACTTTTACAGTCATGTGTGATGGGAGGGTTCCGAACTTTTCCTATCTAATGCATAGATAATAGAGTACAGGACAATGATTTCTGGTCAGCAGGACAATATTCATGCTTTCCAACAGTTAATTGCCTTCCCTCTCCTTTTCTCTTAATTTAATTTCTCTAGTAAGGAGACGCTACTCTATAAAGACTTTATTTATCTGAAGCATTTTCTGGAGACTGACTCCGGTGGAAGAAACTTCTCTTTTTTCCTGTACAAATCAGATAAAGTCGGAGGGCAAGACGACTTATCAGAAACAGAAAGTGAAAAGGCAAAAGTTGAACTCATGAAAGTAAGCTATTTGGAACAACCTAAAGTTGAAGCCACCTAAATTGGCTATAATATCCGCATCTATAGTGAGAATATTTTAAGGATGGGCATTTATTTGTATACTCTATTATCTATGTCTAATGTGACCAGAAAAGTGTACGAACCGGGTGAAATCAACCAGGTATTGGGCCGGTAACCAATAGCAACATCAACCAGCCTACGCCCCCGTTTCCAATCCCTTTCATTTACTCTAATATCTATGATGCTGGTACCATAGATATTAGAGTAAATGAAAGGGATAGGAAACTCCCGTTCGCGGCAGGAAATGCTAGTTACCCATACCATGATAATTTCTCTATTTATAGGAATTTTTTCAATTTTACAATAGGATTTATTAAGAAAAATTATCAAAAATTATGGAATAGTACAACTTCATAATGGTTTTTCTCAAATTGTGTTTATGTCACATACATTAAAGTATGTGCGTGCCCTCAAGTGTACATCAAGCTTTGCTTTCATATCACATTTAAATGTGTCAATTATTGAACTGTAAAGAAAAAGGTACAAAACTAAGGTCTTTGCAAAAACTTTGAATTGATTATAAATCAGTCACCAAATCTGTCATCGGAGTCATTTATGTTGCGTGCCCTCCATAATAATTTATAGAATAGTTGGTAATAGTTAATTCTGGTA